TAGTGTATATTGTCTGTACTGTTTGTTGCAAGGAGGCAAATTGGAGGCAGATATTTTCCCCTTGTTTTCCTTCCCAAAATCTAGGTGCGTCTTATACTTCGGAGCATCTTATACTCTGAAAAATATGGTATTTGCCAGGAATTGAGAAGACCGGATGCCATGATCTTAGTTTTTAAATTAAAAGCCAGTATCAAGGAAACCACCAAATGTGGCTACCATGTTCACTCCAACACTTTCCAGCTGCAATGCTTCTCAGTTTGAGGCAGTTATTTGGCCTTAACTACATCATCCTCTTTTAAGGACCCCATAATCCCTTGTGAGGTGTAGTCTGGGCAACTGAATGGAGCTGAGGGTTTACTGGCCAGATGCCTTTCCTGTCGCCAATGCAGAGTTTTCCCCCCAGCAGATATATTCTCAGTGTGCCCAGAGAAAGAAATATCTGCCTCTACCTAGGATGAAACCTGGCCATAAATACATCATCCCAAATAATATTGATTACAAGACCTTTTGAGGTACATCTTCAAAATAAATAAATAAATAAATAAATAAATAAATAAATAAATAAATAAATAAATAATAATAATAATACCTCATTTAGCTCTTTTTGTAGATTGTCCTGCTGCCTTTCCAGAATAAGTATCTGAGTTTTCTTTATTTCCAGATCCTTGATGCATTGTGCATAAGCTGACTGGAGCCTATTAAAATATATATACATTTCAAGCTCCTCGCCCAAAGCATTTGTCTTTACAGAAAAAAAAAAATATTTAAATAAAAACCAGAGAAGATATGGAGAATGTCTCTCGGGAAGATCTGATTATTTCCAGTGTCTGAGCAAGTCAGAGGATTTCTCCCCCTCCTACAATGAATGTGATTCATCAATTTTCTTCTCAAGGGTTTCCCCCTCCCCATGTATTCATATGTCACAGGAATATATTTACAATAAAAATACATTTTTGTAAGTATAAAAGGATACAAGACCTGATGTTACCAAAATGATTGCTAAAAGGCAACATCAATTATATTGTACAAAGTACATTTTCTTCACTTATTTTCCTGTTGTATTTTTTTAGTATATAGAACACATTTTAAGTCTCTGTACAATATTTATAGCTAGGACAGTAATCGTTTAATATTTTCATAAAATCCGGCTATATATCCCTGATGACGCCTATAAGAATTAAAACAGTCACATACCGCCTCCTGATGATCAATGTAACTAAAACCTCAACACAGGATATACATACATACACACACACACACACATGTATATATGGCTCTCTGTGTGTATGTGTGTGTGTATGTGTTCCAGCATAACTCTGGAATGTCTCAAAAAATTTCAACCAAACTTAGTTTAATTTAATTTAATTTAATTTAAACCATTCTAGTTTACTTGATTTACCCTCTGGAGAAAAATACTGTGGGGATAAGACATCCCTAACACCCCTGGTGTGTGTGTTCTGTTAAGATGCAGTCTGTTGTGCCTTAAAATGGCTTCTACCGTACTGCCATAAAATGGCTTCTACTGTGCAGCGCAGTGGAGTTGCCATGGTATCAGCTTCACAGTACTCCACAAGAGGGCTTCCTCTGGTAAGGGGGGGAAATCCAACATTAGAAATCATGTTTGGTCTGGACATCCCCCCTATAAATAAATACCGGGGCAAAACCGGGCTATTGGCTAATATACTATAAAAATAGAGAAATTTTCTCCTCGTTCCAGACTGGTGATAGAGGTGGAAATTACTTAATGCAGTGGGCCCCAATCTTTTTGGGGGATGGGACGGTTGCACATGCACAAAACCTGATCACCTTTAGGAGCAAATAAAGCTTCACTATAATAAAGAGCCGTGGTGGTGCAGTGGTTAGAATGTAGTACTGTAGGCTACTTCTGCTAACTGCTAGCTGCCTGCAATTTGGCAGTTCGAATCTCACCAGGCTCAAGGTTGACTCATCCTTCCGAGGTGGGTAAAATGAGAAGCCAGATTGTTGGGGACAATAGGCTGACTCTCTAAACCACTTAGAGAGGGCTGTGAAGCACTGTGAAGCGGTATGTAAGTCTAAGTGTTAATGCTATTGACACGGAACCGGTCCCTGGTCCCGAAAAGGTTGGGGGCCGCTGGTATAAACCATTCTAATTGACACTGAAAAAAAATGCAATTTGCTTTTATTTGTATTGGGCACTTCAAATATAGCTTGATCACAACTAGAAACCTCTGCCTCCTTACTTAAAAGTAAGCGCCCTTTAAGCTACTGAGACTTACTTCCCAGCCGGCCTAGAGAAGATCATGCCTCTACTGCCATGTAGAAAGCATGGAACCAGTTTTTGAAGTATAGGGGTACAGTTTCAACACCTACTTCACTTGATTTTCTTCTTTGTTTTTATATTCTTCGATTTTGGCCACTTCCTTTCGCAACTGCTGGCATTCCAGTTCCACCATATTTAGGAGGTCTTCCCGAGACTGCAGTTCATTCCTCACTTCCAGGAGCCTGACTTCAGTGTTCTAAATAAACGCAAACACCGCACTCAATTTATTCGTTCGCTGACAACTTGCCGTTACCACTCTGTAACATTCAGAGCTCTTTCGCATGGCGTTTAATGCTGATATTCCATGGAACCAAAGACTCTTTTTCATTTGGAAAGTAGGTTTCATTTTTTTTTATCACCCCTATAAAATTTTGAGTTGCCAGGTTCTCTCTGCAGGAAGATCACTTAGAAATAAAGCAAGCAAGCTGCAAGTATCAGGCCTGCAGTCATATTCCTTTTAGGATCTCTGGCCTGCCACACTTTCTATTATTTGACTATGTTGTTTCATTAGTGGGGTAATTGGGAGGGGGAATAGTAAGGCGTAGAATTGCAGAAAGTGTTGTGGTCAAAATAAAACATTCCTTTCTAGAAGCCCAAGGTTATTCTTTGTCTCCGCACCTCTGCACCTGACCGGAACTAGATTCGGGTTAATGTCAGCATTCCAAATATCATCCGGAATTAAACCAGAGTTCAAGGCAGATCTTTCACTGAGCCGAGGTGGCGCAGTGGTTAGGGTGCAGTACTGCAGGCCACTTTAGCTGACTGTTATCTGCAGTTCAGCGGTTCTAATCTCACCGGCTCAAGGTCGACTCAGCCTTCCATCCTTTCGAGGTGGGTGAAATGAGGACCCAGACTGTGGGGGCGATATGCTGACTCTGTAAACTGCTTAGAGAGGGCTGAAAGCCCTATGAAGCGGTATATAAGTCTAACTGCTATTGCTTTTGCTGCTTTCCTCAAAGTTTCAATTTATTAAGAGAGACATGTTGGTACATCTGTGGAAACGCCGAATGTGAAAGCTTCCGGGGTTTTCCACCCAATTGAAAATTCATGATCTTGCCCCCACACCCACAAGTCCATCACATGGTCCAATCTCCCACTGCCATGCTGGCATTTCCACCCAGGTGCACAGGTGCAGAGACAAAGAATGAACTTTCAAACTGGGTGGGAACCCCAGGAAGCTTTCAAATTTGGGGTTTCCACAGATGTACCAACATGTCTCTCTTAATAAATTGGAACTTTGAGGAAAGCTCTGCCTTGAACTCTGATTTAATTCTGGATGACATTTGGAACGCTGACAGCAAGCCTTTGTGCATTCGGAAATAAAATGGGCTTTTTTTTTGAGATATTTCCTTCTAAGGAAGCTGGCACTGGTTCAGTACACATGAAAAACTCCTGTCCCGGTTACAACAATATGGTTAACATGAAGGATGTGCTATGCACAGGTATATCAGTCGTAATAGACGATGGGGCTGGATAGTCTGAAAAGCATTGTTGTGGCCCAGACTCGGATGAGGAGGAGGTTGAAGAGGAACTTGGGCCAGTGCTGGGGCCTCGGGAAGGCTCTGATGAATGCTCAGTGTTGGATGCAGAGATAGAATCAGGGCCATCTGGCATTTCCCAGCCACCGGAGAGGCAGCTTCCTTTGGAGGCTGAGATGAGTGAAGAAGAAGAATAGCTTGGGCCTGTTCCACATGCACATATGCACAGAGCAGTTAGGAGAGGTGAACAACGGAGGACAAGGAGTCGACTCGGGAAGCAAAGCAAATGTGGACACTGAATGCCACCCCCTGCCTGGGGAATAAATAGAAGGAAAGGGGAGTGGTTGTCGTAGGAGACAACAGTTCGTATTTCTGGAGATTTTGCTCATTGTGTTTCATGCCACAAAGACTGCTTGTCAGAACTTAATTTTCAGCCTTTCAGCTAGGAGCTCACTGCCTTGCAATTATCGCAAGGAACTGATAAGGTCTGTACTGCAGTTAATTCCTTGAAGGACTATTGCCTGGACTTTTCGGTGTGTGAATGCAATTTATTCACAAGAGATAGATAAAGAGGGGTTTTTTCTTGTGACGAGGAGTCTGTTTCTTGTTTCTGCTAAGGCTGAGTCACAACAAGCACTTCAGAATATTACATTCAATAACTCAATCACATATTGATCCACACAACAGACTGCATATATGTTTTCTACCACTTTACTTACATTGCTCCCCTAAAGGTACCTTATGAACTGAGATTTGAAGAGATGCGGAGAATAGTTGGGCAGAGAACTTTATTTTTTCCCCTCACCCAGATATAATCTGCAAGATTTTCTGGTGAGTGGCAATGACTGGTAACAGAGGCAATGAGAACAAAATTGAAAATAGGGATTGCCAATTTCATGATGGAGACATGTTTTTATTGATCCCAGTATATGTGGTGGCATTTTAACTCAGTTAGGAGACATCCCTAGAAGAGGGAAGTCTGTAGAGATTCTCAGTCACCCAGGTCATGGTTGTCCCAAAGGTGCTTTTTCAGGAGGCAACTGGACTTCCTTGTTTTTTATTTGAAGATGTTTCGCTTCTCATCCAAGATGCTTCTTCAGCTCTGACTGGATGGTGGAGAATGGAAGGATTTATACTCCTTGCAGAAAGCTGGTCATTTGCATTCTTTTTAGAGAGTCTTTGAGCCCACTTGGGAGATTTTTCTGTGTCCTCGGAGGTCACCTGAGTAGTGCAAATTGGTGTGGAGCAATTTGTGCCACCATTCCCCACCATCCAATCAGAGCTGAAGAAGCTTCTTGGATGAGAAGCAAAACATCTTCAAAGAAAAAACAAGAAAGTCCAGTTGCCTCCTGAAAAAGCACTTTTGGGAGAAGGAAGCCACACATTTGGAACTCCTGTTTATTACCTATTCCTATACAATATTAACCTATCATTATAAACTTATATCAGCTTTATGTGTATTCCCCCTCTCTCCCCACTCTCCCACTCTTCCTCTCTCTCCCTCTCCCTTTCTTATTTATCTCTCCTAATATCAAAAACACATTAAAAGCTCATATAAAATTGAGATATCCGGGCTTTGCTACACTCTGTCTTTCTAAAGTATGAAATGAAAAAACGTCAATTCCTGAACTTTCTCTGGATTAAAAGTTGGGTAGAAAGCCTTTGTCTTGTTGGGTTGTGAATGGACTCCCTCATGCATTCATACAGTGCATTCGGACCCCCTTCACTTCTGTCAATTTTGTAATCCTGCAGCCCAATTCTACATTGTACAATCAAGGTGTAGAAACTTGTCAGCGAGAAAAATGGGAGGTATCTGAGCTAAATTTCAAGCATTGTTTCAAAGGGTCTGAATCTGTGAAATTCAAATGTTTTTACTACCGGTTCTGTAGGCGTGGCTTGGTGGGCATGGCAGGGGAAGGATACTGTAAAATCTCCATTCCCACCACCCTCTGGGGCCAGCCAGCGGTGGCATTTGCCAGTTCTCCGAACTAACTCAAAATTTTCGCTACCGGTTCACCAGAACCTGTCAGAACCTGCTGGATTTCACCCCTAGTCTGAATACTTATGCCAGTTAAATTTGAGGCCTTTTTTTGCCTCTTTTTAATAAATTTACAGACATTTCTAAAATTCTGTTTTCACTTTGTCACTGAGCACTGAGTGTCAATTAATGAGGGGGGGGGGAGAATGAATTTCAACAACTGTAGAATCAGGCTGCAGCGTAACAAAATCGACGAAAGTGAAGGGGGTCTCAATACTTTTTGAATGCACTGTAAATCTCAATACTTCAGGTTACTTGCCAGCTGCAGAGAGGTTTGCATTCTCATGAGTAATTGCTTTCCACTGTGTACATAAAGAGATACCGCAGTTTTCCCCTTCATTCTGGGGTAGAAAATGTTGGTCCTTTGGAGGAAAGAAACCCCCAAAACCTGAGGGTGAAGTTGTGAACTGAGATCCTGGGAAAAGCATGGATTTAATATCCTTCTAAGCAGCCTCTAATTAAAATGTGGAACTTTCTAAGAATCTGAGAAAAGTCCAGATCATTCAGAGGGAACATCTGTTTTCCATTCAGAGAGAACATCTGTTTTCCAGAGAATTCCTGATTTGTGGAAAGAAAGAGATCTTTCTAAAACGGTAAGAGAATATTGGAAAAGTTGTCTTAACTGGGTTATTAGGAAGAGAAGCTTCATCCCTTGAGGCTGGAATAAACTGTTGCTGCAGTCAGGGAGATGCTGTTAGCAGCTTTGCCTCTTGATTAAAAAAAAAGACAATCTCTCCACATTTCCAGTAGTAATCAATAAAGTGAAATGATAATGTGCAAGTTTATGTCCCTAGTAGAGGTTCCTGGAAAAGCAGTAAAGCTACAGTTATTTTTGGCAGAGGCCTTGAGTTGCCTTGATGCCAAATACCAGCATGGGCATGAAGAGTGATGATCCCTAGAATAGCTGAGCGTCAGACCCGACTGAATGGTTGACTATGACTGCAATATTTTGCACATCTCCTGCTTTCTTCTGTTTCTTAATGGATTGAAATCAGAGGTGGTATTCAGCCGGTTCGCACCGGTTCACCTGAAGCAGTGGCAGAAATTTTGCCCAGTTTGGAGAACTGGTAGCAATGGCCGCCCCTCCTGTCACCGGTTGCTCACCCCGCCCATCTGGTTGCTGCTTCCTTGCGCTACCTCTTCACATACTGGCTCTCAAAGAAGTCGGCGGTCGGCGGCTGGCCACTGAAAAGTCCTCTGGTCTTGGCATGTGCGCATCCCATTGCCTTGAAAGTCCACTTGGAGGCAGTGGCTGGGAGGCTTCTTTGCTAGTCAGCCACTTCCCAAAAGCGGTGGCTGGCTGGGGGGCTGCCGAAAACCCATCAGCTTGCCTTCTGGAGTGGATCAGCCGCCGCGGAAGGTAATCAACCAAAGAGGCGGTGGTGGGGGAGGAAGCGGGGAAACGGGGGCTACTAGCGAAGGGAAGGTGGGGGTGGATAGGGGAAAATCCTAAAAATTGTCCTACCTTTTCCTATGGGCGTGGCTAGGTGGGGGAGAATGTGATTGAATGGGTGTGGGCGTGAGTGATGTTACGTTGCTCCCCCCCCCCAACCTAGCCATGCCCACCGAACCGATAGCGAATTTTTTTGAATCCCACCACTGATTGAAATGGATAAAAACCCAGGCACTGTTCTTGTAAATTGAACAGGTGCGTGCTGTGATGCTTGATGGGGTTTGTATTTGGGTTGCAGGACAGAGAGGAGAAAACACTGCTCAAGTCAGAAATATTGCAACGGTAATGAGGGACAAAATGTTGGAGGGGGGAAAAAAAACCCACAACACGACTTAGCTATAACTAGAGGCATTCTTCATCTAGCGACAGCTGTAACTCTTCTATTTTCCATCACAGGAAAATATATATATGAGGGGTATTTTTTTTTTAAAAAAAATTGCATTATAAACATTCCTGGCTCCAAAGGAGTAATCTGTAGGATTTAAATAGACCAGCTTCCTGGTTCCACCTGCTCACAGATTCTTCTTTTGAATTCTCAATACACTTTACTGTTTTCCCAATTCTTTCTTATTTCATAGTTAAGACTTTGGGAAGGGGAAAATTGTTGCGTACAAGAGGTGACATCCATCCATCCATCCATCCATCCATCCATCCATCCATCCATCCATCCATCCATCCATCCATAGCTTGATTATTATTTTTTTTCACATTTTTTTTAATTTTCATTTTCATACACTCACATGTATACTGTACATAGCCAGCGCCATACAGCATTAAACAATAATTGCATCAATTCCTCTTGTCAACAATGCCCAAGAAAATAGAAACCCAATATAACTCTTCCGCTCTCCATACACCTCTTTCTTCCGCCACCCTCCAACTTTCTATCTTCCCTCCATCATCCCCCTCTACCCTGCTTCCCCCCCCTCTACCACTCCTCTCTCCACATCGACTCCCCCCCTTCCTTCTCACCTTTCCCTCCCACCCTCTCTCCCATCCCTCTCTGCCCATCTTTCTTCTTTCCCACTCCTCCTCTCCTTGGTGTATTTCCGCTACATGTCAATATACTTGGCCTATCCTATTTTTAAAGAAAAGTTTAAAAAAAAAGAGCAGTATACATGTGGAAT